GCGCGTTCGCGATAACTCGGGTGTAATTCAACAATAAACCATATCGAACAATCGTGACTCGATCTCGGTGGGTTCTCGCCAAACGCGCGGTGGAAATGTGAGTGCGATAATGCGAATATTAATTCATACGCGGGGACGAAAACAGGGGGGGTGAGGTTACTCTCGCCTTTGAGATATTCTCGAACACGAACTCTCGTGGTTATCGTGAATTATCTGCACGCGGAAACTCGACTCTTCGCACGTTCAGCCGACGACAGTACGACACCGAAATAGATATCCAAGTCGAAGAATTGATAACAGGGATAAGACTCGTATCTGGAGATTACAACTTTGTTCGCGAGACTTGGATGTGGCGTCTTAAAAAATTAGTTTTTCGTTCTCGAGAGGGAGAGAGAGAGAGAGAGAGAGAGAGACGGCAATTTTCTTTCAGCAATATGGACGTTTTCACTTTAAAATACAAATCAGGTCTTATATTTAAGAATATTCTTTGGGATAAGAATATTCTCTTTTCCGTGTATAATAAATTTCAATTGTATTATATAGACAGCTAATTCCTTTCTTCGGCATATATACACATATATTCCATATTGAAAATTTAAATATTTATTTAAAAACCAAAATGACGGGCATTGGTATTTATACGAAGCTGAGCTATTCTGAAATTACTTTTAAAGCGGGATATTGTTAAAGAGAAGAGTACTTAGAAATGATATCAAGAAGAAAACTCTGTGATGCCGTCCGATAAAAATTTGCGTAATAAATCAGAGGTTACCGTTAAAAGGAAGTACAGTTGTCGATGCCTTAAGAGGATTGAAACGCATCGCGTATCCCGAATACCAATGACGTGTCCCAAGAAAATACTTCACCTCGAAAAGTGGCGGCGGTCAGTTACGTGACTAATATCGTAATATATTCCGCGAAATATTTGACAGGAATAGCGCGAGCAGCCACGCGACGCGTCACGACGTTTGAATCCGAGATTTCTCCCGCCCAAGCGAAATAAGAACCCTGAACCAAGAAACCTATAGACGCGCGCTCGTAGTGGGTTTCTCAGTAACGCCGAGAAGCTGAAGTCGGTTAATCGAATTAAAGCGAAACCGAGATCGAAACTAATAGGCCGAGAAGGCTTTCGCAGCTTTCCCGAAAGGTCCACCACGACATACTCGCGATTCGACGCGCACGAAGACTCGACGTTTCATACATCCACCGAAAGAAAGAGGATCATCCGTGCATTGTTTAACGACGAAACTGATAGCGGGCGCGGGATCGCCACCTTTCGCCGAGCGGGAGTTAGCTCGAACGGGGCATCGGGGCCCCTCCGGTCAGATTAGGCCCCGTCGGGCCCCTCGTCGAAGCGCCGGTTCGGGTCCGCCTTGCCTCGTGCATGCGCGTCATGGTCTCTCGCGTCGGCCCCAGCTTCGCGGTACCCAGCTGGACGGCCATTCGTCGGGCCCGTCGTTAGCCGCCGAGGAAGCCGTCTTGGCGTGCCGCAGCCGTGTCATCGTGGAACACGACGGTGCCGCGCGGGACTACTCTCTCTCTCTCTCTCTGATGTAACCCCCTTCTCCCTGCAGCCGCGAAACCGCATCGCGGCCGCCTTGTATCGCCGCGATTACGCACACACTCGAGCGTCGCCGTCGTGCGGTCCCAACGTTCGCGATCCCGTAGATCGCCCGCGATCGCCTGCGATGCGTCCTCGCGCGCGCGTCGCGTCGCCGATCGAGGCCGAGCCCCGATTTCGAGAGTGCGTTTCTTTTGTGCGCGACGGTGCTCCTCTTCACGGGGTGAAGGACGCGAGAACCAGTGATACCTGCCTGCCTCCCGGAGAGGCCCTCTGGATCGGCGATGAGCGGGATGGATGGATCTCAACCGGGCGATCACACCCACAGCTAATTGCGGGGGTAACGTCGAGGGAATTTTCCCAGTGAAAAACTGTTGTTCTTCCGCGGAGACGAGGATCGCGCTGCGATACACGCGCCTCGTCGGATCGTAATTCACTTCGGAGTATCGTGCTTCTCTCTCCCTCTTTCTCTCTACGAGGTCCGAGGCACGCGCGTAAAGTCGAATCAAATACAACTCGGACGGACAGCATTATTATGCGGTTTTAACGATCCATCAGGCGGAGAGCATCGTAAAGTAAAAAATAGCGCAGCCTTTATTACGGATCTCGTAACTCACTCGGATGCTCGATCGGAGACTGAGGCGCGCGATCAGGTGATAGAGAAACCGGAAAGAAACGGGCGGAATCCGGGGGAGAGGAAGTGAGATATCTGGATTTGTAGAACGGCCGCGTCGCCGATGTGTGCCAGTGCGCGCGCGCTCCTCCGGCGAGATCGGCCCGTCGCTCGCTGATCGGCATCGAAATCGCCGATTTTCCCGAGGGGAGGGGAGTGCGACGAAAACGACTCTCCGAGTGCTCCGGCCGGTGTGATACGACGGATTTCGGATCATGGATCTCCGCTCGCTGTCGCCCAGCGAGCGTACTTTCTCAGGTGGAATCGCGCGGAGGGCATCGGCGAAAGTATTTTCGATCGTTTGCAGAAGTAAGTCCGCGCGCTTATCTCCCATTGGCGGCGTGTGGAATTTTATACCGTGACGTGCGAAAACGATTCGAAAACGGCTATCCTAACTTCGCAGATGTTTGACATTTTATTTTCGCATTAAGTCGTCTGTTTAGCTCCTTTGATGCTGGGAAGTTATTCCCGTCTTCTCCGCTTGAAGACTCAATGTATAAAACCGGTGTTCATAGTCGAATTTTATGTTTGAGACCGTCTTAAGTTTATCTTCAGATGCTCCACAGCTCGTTTCATTCGCTACGAAGCATCTGAAGATAATTATGACTGTGAATACCGGCCTAAGATTTCGATTCGGGTGGAAAATGCGGAATTGGGAGTTTAAAAGTGAACGAATCTTTCCAAGTCGAAGTTTCAGGCCTACGTTAAGTCTTCAAATAACTTAGGTAGTGTCAAAGGAGTGTACCCTTTAATCCCACGCAGGGAATTTAGTCCTCCACAGCTTTAATTCTACATTAAATCTTTAAATGGGGAAAACTTCCTCATCGCTAGCACAATAGATCTTTGAACATTTCGACTCGGAAGATAACGGGACCCATTCGACGATCTCGCGACGCTAGCCTAGATTTGTACGAAACTTGAGATTCTACGATTGGTAAAAGTGGCAAAAATGGCAGCTGCCTCGCGTAAAAATGAGCACCGGCGCGAGTCCCTTGCACTTGCTGCGCAACGCGCGCGCTTTCTTGGCCCTGAAGTCAAGCGCAACGCGCGGCGCGACGTTCGCCAGCGCGTCCTTGATTTTCGCTCGATTAGTATCCGCGCGATCGCCGTTATTGAAGGAGGAAAAAGTATCGTTCCGGTTGGCCGTTTCGGTTCAACGGCCCGCGCTTGAAACGGCCTGTGCGGCAGCACGCGCGAGCGAGCGCACAATACCGATTCTTTGAGCGTTGCGAGGAGCGCGCGGCTTCCGGGATTGCCTGGGATTACCGGTGAACTTTCACCGATCCACAAAAAAGCCGAACAACGCCGCGGGACGAGCGAGCGTTATGTTCATAAATGCCGGGCCGAGACGCTCGCCATTGTGTTTATATCCGCGATCGACACGTGATTACAAAGAGAAGTATCATATTTTACGATTTAATTGCGCCGAAGATCGTCGCTTTCCTATTCACCGCTCGCCGTTATTTCCGTTATCATTTTGACGGGCTGGTATGCGGCCCGTCGAATAGATCGAAATTAGTTCTCTCGCGTCGAGTTTGTTTTCCCAAATTAACTCTCAAAGTGTATAATGTCATTCGGCTGAACATTCCATGCGAACGGGAGAACAAATAAGAAGGAATTCCAACGGTTTTAGCCGTAGCGAGCTGGTTAACTCGCAGTTGATTATACAAATGGTACGGGCCTTATTTTTCTCACCGAGCTTATTGTATCTGCGATTACGTAAGCGTCTAAGGAATTTCGCTCGACAAGCGCGGCAATCAGGTTCATCACCTGATACCCCGCACCTGTATTAAAACAGCTGCGAAAATGTCAGATTTTCCCCGTTGCAGTTTTCTCGCGACGTCGAATCTATGCGTGCCGCTCTTTGTTCTAATAATCTCTGAGGGAGGAGGGGGGGGGGGGACGATCAATCGATGGATGATGAAACATGTAGAGTTTAATACGACGCCGAAGTTTGGCCGATGAAGCATAGACCCGGCGTAAAAGCGCCTCGTGCCATGGAATATACCACGTATAATTACTTTATATCGAAAGCTATAACCGCCTCGCTGTAAACACGGCGAGATAAAACCGAAGACGAAACTTAGATTAGATCTCTCGCGGCGATCTCTACCACCCAAGAAATACACACAGCGGGACGATGCGAAGAGTAAAGGTCCTCGATTTCGCTCGGCTGATTAACACACGTCATCTCTCTCTCTCTCTCTCTCTCTCACACACACACAGATCTTACTGGCCGATGAGAGACTGTTAATTCCTTTTGCGGCGCGCCCCGCGAATTCCAACAGGCGGCTGAAGAAAATCAATGGCATCCGTTTCGTCCGCGGACACGAAGAGGGATGTTCGCGGCCACTGGCTCTCCAAAGGCACGACGTATAAATACCACCTCGTGCGAGTCCTCTCCTCTTCCCCCCGTTATCTCCTCCTGCTCCTTCCCTCCTTGGCCTGCGGTGTCTATTTAGATAATCTTCCGCTTGGCGGGAGCGGCACTCGGTACGGCAAGGGAGCCTCTTCTTCGCGGTGGCTTTCACCAAGGTGGCATCGCGTTCCTCGTTTGTGCATCAGCGAGATCTTCTCTTGTTGCCGGTGAGAAACTTTTTGGCATACGCCACGCCCGTGCGCCGGATCACGGCGGAACACCCCGACGGAGAAGATCCCGAAAGTGCGCTCGAAGTGAAATCCCGGCAACGGGACGCTCTCGACTGTGGCGGTGGTCGAGGAGAAATTCAATCTTCGGCGTCATCGCGGGAAGACGATGAGAGGACTATCTCGAATCTAACGGAGTCTGGACAGCAATTCGCGGGATCTAAATGTGCAGGAAGATTCGCGACAAAGGCAGAGTTCACGAGTCGGCGCAGTAGGTACGAAAAGTTGTCGCGAGGCGAACAACGTGGTGAACAGTGTTGCGGCGCGCGTGGGCGAGAGGTGATTAGACTCTCGAGCGGAAGATGCCGCGGTCGGTAGTGTCGGTGGTGGACGACGGTGATGACGAGATCCGCTGAGGCGTTTCTTCTTACGGAGGGTATGTACCCGATCATCGCCTGGACCGTTTGTTTGTCGCGCGGAGTTGTCGATAAGGATGTTTGGATACACCGTGGCGAGATAAACGGCCCGTGGACCGCAATTCGCGACCTTCCTCCGGGTTCGTTGAAACCCGCGCGCACAATGGAGCGGCACGTGTGTCGCGGCTTTCCGCTGCGATCGTGTCGATTTCCACGTTAAGTCGTTCGCTATCTGAATCGAAACGGAGTAATTCCCGGTTCATAACAGCGAAGGGGCGCAATAGAAGACATTTCAACACTCTACGACTAGGGATCCAAATTTCGACTCGGATATTCGATCTTTTTCCTATTGTGCTTCTTTAATGCTAAAAATGACAAGTTATTTCCGCTTTCTCCATGTGAAAGCTTAATATAGAATTTAAAATCCCCCTCCCAGAAGGTCTAAATTCCCTTTGCAGCATCAAAGGAGAGCCATTAATGCCCCTTTGATGTCACGAATGGGTAATTATTTTTTCCATTTGAAACTGAGAGAACTGAGTAGACTTGATGTAATATCGGTCGTAGCAAGCGAGGCGCACATATTTGCCGAAAGCGGACGAAACCGGGCGGGTCGATATTTGATTATAATTAGCTGCGTTGGAACACTTTTCCCACCCTCCTCTGCGCCATCCGTCGACAGAAAAGATTCCGAAGATAATCGTAGACGAATTCTGGGCTTCTCGCCGCGCGAGAAGACGCGTCGATCAGTCATCGTTGCTCCGGCACGCGTCTCCGATATCATTCCGAGCGGAAAGGAGCGAAGTGCGCACATCGTGCTGACGTCCCATTCGAAATTGTTAAACAAACACTCGTCGAATTGGAAGCCGATTTCCAATTGCGAAACCAGCACGGACGGTCTTGTTTACACGATAATGAAGCCGTCGTTATCAACTTCGATGACGATGGTTTCTGCTCACATTAGCCGATGACGACTATTCGTTCGTTTCGAAACGGGCTCTTCCACCACCTTCCTATCCGCGATATGTATTCCGCGTATGTAAATCACTTTCGTAAGCACTAAATCAGTGGACAAAAAGGGGAGATTTTGCGGTAGATACATCTCAAAATAGTCACTGCCGATATTCCATGTACGGCACAACTCACCGTCCGAACTCCGGAAAATGACTGTTCTTAAATGATGATTTTATTCGAACACGGCGTCTTGTCCGTTACACGGTAAAAAAAATTTGTGTTAAATTCATTTCACGAAATATTTCAAACGCTCCGCTCAAATTTCGGTGTTAATTTAACACGAATATATTGACAAGTAAATACAAATATTATATCAAAATTAACACGTTAATCGACAGCGGAGTGCAAAATGTGTTATTTTAACATTTGCACATGTTGAGCATCGACACAACACAGAAAGCTGAGATGGCAATGAACAATGAAATATAAAATCAACCCGCGGATATGTCGGAAATTTACCAGCAAGAACTTCAACAAGGACCGATTTTAACGCAAGTACAAAACGTTTTTCTCGCTGCTTTTCAGCGAAGCTGGCGCGGCCGGTTCGCGAAAAATGTCCCGAGACGAGTCATCGGGCAGAGAGCGGCGCGCGCGGAGATATAAATATCGACCACTCCAATTTTCTTAAGGAGTAACACACACAGTTACTCATCGTGGCGAAAATATCGCGTCTCGCGTCTCGCGCGGTTAATAGCGATTAATTAACGACGCGATCCCCCGTGGCACGGGGGTGGAAAATAAGTCTCGCGCGGGGCTTTTCAATCGCGTCGGCGCGCAGCACACCACGGGAAAAGGATTACAGGAGTCTGTGTCCTCCGGCCGGCCAGTTTCATGCGACGATTTATAACGGACGATTTGCAGTGACTTATGGGACGACTCTCGATCAATATGCAAATGAGGGGACCGCGCGCGGCCGTTTAGACTTAGATCGCGAATTAATTTATTTGCGAGCGACGGACTCGTCGAGAAGGCGATTAGATCAAATCGTTTAATTAAGCAAAAGACCGGAAATATATCAAGGGCTAATTAACGATCCGTTGCGCCTTGAGACTTCAAGACAGCCCCTTAGTTTCGATTTCATAATCGCGGCTTATTTTTGCCTCTTCATCTGCATTCCTGTCTAATTAAACGGTAATTAGGGTGCGATATCGTCTCACACTTACGGATATACTCATAGATTTACAATTACAGAGAGACGTGTGTTTTGTTTTATGTTTACGTTTTTATAACGAAATGCCGCTGAAAGCTATTCGATGACGTATCTCGTTTGAAACTGTTTCTCTTTCGCGTTGACAC